CGGCCCGGTGTGGAGGACCAGGTGGCCACAGCAGCCGCCCAGGTTCACCACGCGGAGCTTCAGGTGAGGATGGCGGCTCCTCCCCGCCTGCAGGTTTCATACCGCCTTGCTTTGCGCTTACCTTTTTTTCCTGTGCACACTTACTTCCGATTTTCTTTTGCACCGCCGCGGACTGATGATCCAAGGGCGCTGACTGCGTCACAGGAGCTGAGCAGAGCTTAACTGAGATGCATAACTCAGCCCAGCCAGATGTACTCTGTGTTTGTTTGTTTCTTCCCCCAGCTTGTTTTCGGACACAGGAGTGCAACGGCCTGTTACTGCGATACTAACACTGAACCTGCTCCTCGCTGCCAGGCAGCTCTCACGGTGCACTCTGTCTCACACGCGGGGCTGTGGCCAGGCTGCAAATACAGTCCTAGGCAGTTTAGCTCATCAGCAGATTGTAAAGCACTTTCTAAAAGAAGCCAGCGTCGGTACCGTTCTGCTGAAAAAGGCCAAGGGCAGCCAGCTGCTGAGCCAAAAGCACAGAGCTGAGCACTTGCAAGCCTGCCTCAGGATTTAGCCGCACACGTCCCAGCCAAAAGGCAATTGCTCTTGTGGGCTGTGATTCTAGCATGTCTCTAGTGGGCTCCAGAAAGTCTGGGGCTCAGAAGAGAACATCATGATCTGGTGCTAAAAGCTGAACAAGGTAACGCTGCCAGACCTCAAGGGGATAACCCTGCCAGCAGCTCACTGCCAATGCTTTCACTGGCCGGTCTGTACCGAGCGAGGCACTCCAACCTGCCTGTGCCAGGCTTTCACGGGAAGTACCGGTTTATTTTATTCCACAGCAGCCACCTCGATTTAGGACTGAGCAAAGATCTGAGAGTCTGACACCTCTCTGATGTCCGAAGTGCACTGCTGCACTAGATGGCGAACTGGCAGTGGCGTTTTGTTGGCTTCGGTCATTGTTTTATGGTAAATATGTTAATGGGGGTGAGACGTGAGGAGGGAGGCCTAAGCTATGTAAGGAGGATTACAGAGAGTGAAGGTCTTCTGCAGGGTGAACAGCTTCAGGTGTCACCGTGAATCAGGAGTCGGGCTGTAGGTCTGACTTCTCTGACACTTCTTTCCCTTTGTCCAACATTTTTTTCCCCTAGTCTCAACATCAGCCCACTTTCCGACCAGATGTTTGCTTTCTTGGACTTTTGTTTTTCCTAGCAATTTGTTTTCCATTGAGTGTTTTTCTCTAGTGTGTACCTGCATTTATGCATGTGTGTGTTTAACGTACATATACGCTTAAATTATAAATACTTAAGATCAAATGTTTAGATTTTGTGACCAAAGATGTACTCTGCATGTGCATGAAATTAATTTTGAATTAGGAAATGTGTCCCACAAAGTCATTCTTTGAATGTAGCCTTTGAAAAACGCAGCTTGAATGAACTTGTGATTATGCAGCTAAAGGTAACTGGGAGATGGCAGGCGGGGGGGTTCTCTCCTTTCTTTTCTTCCTCAAAAGGAGTAAAATGCCTCTTCCTTGGAGTCACACGGTAGGTTGGATTGTTCTTTTACTCCATCTTTACTAACAAATTAAGCTCCTTTTAACATCAGGACTAAAGAATACAGGAAAGTGTCAGAATTGCTGAAGAAGTTAGCCATCTGTTTATATTTTTTGATTAAAGAGAATTTGACTGGGGGAGGGATATATTTTAGTAGTGGCATCCACAGTAATTTTAAAACTTCTTTTTCCCCCTCCCCATCTGTCTGTCTCTCTCTTTTATTTTCTTTGAAGATTTCAGATATTGAGAGCAGAATATCAGCTCTCACTGTTGCAGGCTTGAACGTGGCTCCATGTGTTCGCCTGACAAGGAAACGGGATCAAAAGCAAACAAACCAGGTGCCAGAACATTATGTAGTATTCAAAAATACATTGGGGAAATCTCGCCTCTCTTTCTGTAATGGAGTTGAGTAACGCCTATGTGTTGTTTACAGATGCATACAATAGACACATCAAGGCAGCAGAGGAGAAAACTTCCAGCTCCACCAATACAAGGTGCGCTCAAGTTGTTACATACATTAGAGAGAGAGTCTCTCTTCGTAAGGTTCAGCAAAGGAGGGGAAAGATTAAGGCATAAACTGAAGAGAGAAAGCCTAAATATGTCCACCCTCCTCATCTCCCATCGTACTTGCATTACATAAAATACCCATTTGTCAAATTAAAAAGCATCACCACTTTCTCTTCCCGTGGAAGCTGTGACAGTGGCAAATTAATAGCAACAGAAGCTGGGAAAAGCAAATGAGAAATGCTGAGTACTTGTCCTGCAGCAGGGACGCTGCTACCCTGGTGTGCCTGGGCTTAGGCCAGGTGTGCGAGGCCCAGGCAGCCGCAGCATTTAATTGCCAAAAGCCAGTTGCCACCCTCCACAACCCCGCTGTTGTTTTGAAGCCTATGTCTGCTGATGCCAGTCCATATGATGTGGCTCAGCAATGTTCCTGGTATGTTAGGGTATGGCTGTGAATTGGCTTTATAAAGTGCTTTTTTCTTTCATGTTTTCTTTTTTTTTTTTTATTAACCCCGCAGTGCATTCTCTCTGACAATTCTAGGGACTGCTTTACCCTGCATTACTCTTGTTTTACTCTTGTGTAATCCCACTGATTGACGTGGCCTCAAACTTTAATAAATTTGGAGTATCATAGACTTCTGTTCTTCATTTAAATTAAATCCAGCTTTCCTCATACATCTTAGGGGAAGTTTTATCTCTCTCGAAGCTGTGACTCTTCAGGAGTATTATTACATCTGCTTCGGTCTGTTGTGTGAAAAATCTCCCTTTTTGTATTTTTCCCAGGTGAAAAAATAGATGGTTCTCCAGTTACCACTGTCAGAACATTTAACAGAAACTTCATGCTTCAAGGATCTCTAACACAAAGAGCTAAAGAGAGGAAAAGTACTGCCAAGGACTTAATGGTAAACTCACTAACAAATGCTTGCAGTAGAGAGCGAGCGATATCATAGAATCATAGAATGTTTTGGGTTGGAAGGGACCCCTGGAGGTCATCTAGTCCAAGCCCCCTGCAGTGAGCCGGGACACCGCTAACCAGATCAGGTTGCTCAGAGCCCCGTCCAACCTGGCCTTGAATGCTTCCACCACCTCTCTGGGCAACCTGTTCCAGTGTTTCACCACCCTCATTGTAAAGAATTTCTTCCTTATATCCAGCCTAAACCTACCCTGCTTCAGTTTAAAACCATTACCCCTTGTCCTGTCACACCTGGCCCTACTAAAAAGATTTTCCCCATCTTTCCTATAGGCCCCCTTTAAGTACAGAAAGGCTGCAACCAGGTCTCCCCGCAGCCTTCTCTTCTCCAGGCTGAACAAGCCCAACTCCGTCAGTCTGTCCTCATAGGAGAGGTGCTCCAGCCCTCGGATCATTTTAGTAGCCCTCCTCTGGACCCACTCCAACAGTTCCATGTCCTTCTTGTGCTGAGGGCTCCAGAGCTGGACGCAGTGCTCCAGTGTAGATATCTGTGTAGGCAGCTATATTTCAGCATCTTCACAAAACTTCTCTTAATAGTTAGAGGAAAAAGAAGAGGGACTGCTGAGGCAGGTCTGAACAAATACAACCAGTGTTCATGGAAGCTGTCTGACTATACATCATGGTATAGCAGCTGTGCAGTCCTGAATGTCAGCCTGTGTGAGTGTGTTCTGGCTGTCAGGTCTCCAGGAAGGTGCTGCCCTTATTTAAAAAAAAATAAATAAAATGAATTAGCGGTCCTCTGAAATTCAGACTTGTGAACCAGACTCTGACAGGACCAGCTGCACGCTGTAACTCAGCAGATGAGAGTCACTTTGAATCTCACTAATTTTTTGAGAAACGTTCAAAGGTTACTTGAGTGGAATTTAAGGGGTAGATAGGCCATGCATTGGCTCTGCAGGGTTTGAACAAATAGGCTTCACCACACCGCTGTCCGTCATTTCTTCTAGAGCAGCTGTAGAAGGATAAGGAAAAAAGCTGACTCTCCCGAAGCAGGCTGCCACTACATTCGTGGAAAATAGGCAGGGAGGTGAGAAGGGGAAGGACTTGGTTCCCTAGAAGCTTCAGCAAGCTTGTTTTGTGTTTTGCTCATGTTTTTTTCTTTCCTGTCCCTCTCCGTTCTAGGAACCTGCTATAGGATCTGCTGTGATGTACTAAACTTACACCTCCCTACTGCCAATAACACACTGCCTAAGGCTGTACACTCGAGTGCCTTTACTTAACAGCCATTGTGTATGTCCAGCTGAAAATGGACCCTCAAGAACCCACAATGCCTCAGTTATAGGGCTTTGTTTGGATACCTCACTGAGAAAGCTGTCCAAGTCTTCAGCATTGTGGTCTGCTAAAGGAAACTCTGCCTTAAAGTTCTCACAAGACTCTAGAAAGGATGCTGAGTTTCAAAAGCAAGGCTCCACATTTTAAGATGCACTTTTTCTCCCCATTGATTGTACTGAAGTATGTCGTCTTTAAACCGCAGTATGTTTTTGTAGACTCGGTCAATCGTAATTATAGGCCAATATTTGTTACAAAAAGAAAGAACAAAGCAGACCTGTGATCCATATTTGCTGGCCTCTTACTATTCACGTAGGCATCCATCTTGTCGAGCAATAAGACCAACTCCATGCGGTGTGTGCCACTTTTCATCTGCGTGGTGGGAGTGGAGAATCAGCGTACCTAGCTCTGCTCCCAGTGAGTCAGTGGAAGTTTTGACAGGGTTTGTAGGAGGAGACGCGATGCGCAAAGACTTCTCTCTTCAGTGAGGGTACGGTTGGCAGAGTTAACGTTCTAGCTCCAGAGCTGGGTGTTTTGCTCTTGGCAGCCGGGGAAACATGGATGTCATGTTGAGCCGTGAACTGGTGGCAGCACATGTGGACCAGATGTCTGTTGAGTTACCATCCTGGCGTCTGGAAATACCTGAACACCGCTGTGAAACCCACACCTTTGTATGTCTCGTTCTTCTCAGTAGCATTGTCCGCTTGGTGGCATCCAACCACGCTGTAGTTCAGAGTAAATTCTGACCAGATCTCTAAGATTGGAAAAAGAAAGTAAAAGCATTGTGGATGAGATCTCTGCTGGCTGGCTGGTGGTAGTAGGGTGGCTGCAACATCTAAGGGATTCCCTTCTGCAGTTCCCTGGTTTTTCTGAGGAGGGGGGGAAAACGTAGCCCAGCCATCTCTTCCTCTACTAATCTGTAGCCACCGTGGGGTAGCCAGGGCCTGTCACTGGTGCCCTGTGCACTCTGCTACTGAATCGGATTGCAAATAGTGAAATTCCTTCTTTCATTTCTTGAGACCTTTGAAAGGCGAGCCAAACTAGAAGGCCCTGGATTAGGTGCCCAGGAGGAAAGACGCTGCTTACAGGGGCGGGCCTCTCACCCTTTTTAGGGAGGACCTTGCCAGTTTGTGGTACTTTTTGCTCAGAAGAACTCAAAGGAGGGAGGCAGAGGAGGTGATAAGCCAGTGAATCCCTTATCTTCCACACAAGGTGCAGAGCCAGCACCTGTACGCAGGCTGGGTTGATGTGCTGTGAAGGCGGGCGTGGGCCAGCGAGTCCCCCCCCGCAGCAGTATTAAGGAGGGGTGAGCCCTCCCTGGAGCAGCAGATACCAGGGAAGGGGGAGAGCTGCTCCCTTCCCTGCCCTGCCGGCGAGCACCCGCAAGCAGAGCGCTGCACCTCACCTGCTGCAAGGCAGGGACCCGGTCCCACCAGGCTGTGAAATGTCTGTGGTTGGGCAAAAAGGAGGAAGACTGGGCCAATTTCCTGGCTGGAATTTTGGGGGGCAGGTGAGGAAGGTAAGGAGTGGTGGGATGGGACGGTTGGAAAAACACAGTGCCAGGTGCAGATCTGCCACCCGCATTTGACATTGAGCTTGTCAGTAAACTGATGTCCAGCTGCAGTCTCTCGGAATAAATACAACCATCTTCCCACCTAGAATATGTAAGCGTCACTCCATCCCTTCAAGGAATTTCTGTCTGCCCCAGATCTGACCCGATGCGTTTATTCTGCATGAATTCTCACGCAATGCTAGTTCTCCGGAACTGGTTTGCACAGGTGTGAGGGCAGAATTTGGCCCACTCTGTTCAATATATAAATATATATATGAAACAAATAGATTTTATTTCTATATGCAATCCGGTCAAGGCGATTAAACAGAGTAGGATGCCTAGTAATTTTTTTGTTATCCAGTCTCCTCCCCCTTCCTTGACTGTTCTCGTGTATGTATACAATACATTCCCAGGTTCTGGTTTATGCAGGTATGCGTGTTATGAAATGTCATTAATGGTGGTTGGTCTACATATTCGTCTACTAAATAATAACTAATATTGTGTATGTAATATCAATGCAGAAATTACTAATTTTAATAGAATAACTCTCTGGCTTTTGTTCTGTTAGTGTGATTTAAACAAGCCAACAAAGTTTGGAATAGGTTGTTTTCCTTAAGAGGCATGAAAAGCAAGTATTATCGTGTTACAATGTTAAAATATTCAGTCTTCTTTGACAGAAAAATGTGTACTGTGTAGGCATTGCAAAAAAAAAAAAAAAGAAAAAAAGAAAAAAAATCCCACCTGCTCTAAGGCATTTGAATTTTTACAAATGTTTATTGTGCCAAATACGTGCAAAGATATTATTTACTGTTTTAAAAAATCATAAAAGCATATGTTATAGCACACAAAGAATTATTTTGTCATCAAGTGATTTCAATCTTTAGTGTTAATATTTATATTTAGATTAATTTTTATAAATGAAAATATTTTAATGGGTAAAATGAAGACTATATGATCTATTTGATTAAGTCTGAGTGAATATTAAGCTTGCCTTGTTGTTGTTATCTGCATACTCACCGAGAATTATTGTCAAGAGAAATTATAAAAGAGTAAAAGCAATTTATGAAAAGAATGCCTTTTCAAGGACTTGATTCATAAAGAAAAACCAAAAGTTCTTCTCTGTTGTTTGGATTTATGTGCACTTCGGCCCAGCAGCATGCAGAACAGGCTGCCACGCAGAGAGCTCAGGCTCTGCCTGTCCACAAGCGCCCCGTCCCCTGTTAAACCCAGGAGATGTGCAGCTCTGCAGAATTCCCTCAGCTAGCCGAGGGGAGGAACGCGCCTTAACGCACCTGGTTCAGATTTTTTCCTCTGGGGCCAGGGTGGGGGGGATCCTGCTAGGAGCGTTTGACAGTCAAACTGTCAAACAGTTCTCCAAACTGTCGAGTCTGTTGGGCGAAATCCCATCGCACACAGAATTTCTCAGGCAGAATTTCTCTAACTCTCGCTGGGATTGCTACAAAAATGACAGACTGAGCAAGAAGGCTGCTGATAATCCTAGTCTGGTATTTCCAAAGTCACATGCAATGAACACTGATCAAAGTATTTCTTTATCAGCATATTTTCTCCACCGTCAGGGCACTCATTTAAACTAGCATGTTTTAAGTAACACTTTGGGTGTTGTATGTTGTATTATAAAGAGGCATAACTGCCTTATTGTAAGAAAAATCCTCTCCTTGCTGACAGACCATTTCGCAAAGAGGGAGAAAAAAGGTTTAAATTATCTGCAATGATTAACTCAACCACTATTAAATTTTAGTAGTAATTCTAACCAAGCACAGCTAGAAATGCAAGTGCATTCTGATTTGTCTTTTGCAGCATGCTTCGTGGCCTGGATTTAACTGTCAGTCGTGAGCTAAATTGTGAGCTATCTTTATCGGATATAAGCCATAGATTAAACTACGTTCGAATATTATGTCTGGTAATAGTTATTAATCAAGATTAAACATAATTGTAAATAACACTTCTTATAAAGTGAATATAACAAAGTTAATTACCATGGCAACCATGCATACTGGGCCACAGCCCCAGGCTTATTGATGTGGACTCAGGCAGTAGGTGGCGCATTGCTTGCGCTCCTCAGAGAGCGGTTTCGGCTTGATGAGGTAATGTACTTCCAAATGACTGCGTTGTTTCACAGGGAATCGGCTGGTTTAGGCCCTCAGCCCTTTTGGATAACGGCGCACAACTACACGCAGTAGGCACAAAACTACTCCGAAGAGTTTAATTAGCCAATTTTATTTTATCTTTTTTTTTTTCAGCAGGGAGAAAATACTTGTCTTTGATAGGAGCTCCTTTTTGTGCATTAATGTATCTCTCCAGCAGTACAGGCACAATTCATAAAGAGGCAGTGGGTAGTTCAGGGCTACATTCTTATGCCTTTATGTTGACAACCTATTTAAAACTACACACAAAGCACCAGCATTTCATGCCATTAATGCAGGTGCATTACAAATTAGTGAGAGCCTTTTTTGTTTCTTCCAACCATTGCTTTTTATTTTTACATATCAACAGCCATTGACTTTTGAAATGTGACAGGAAGGCTTCATGATACGCTTAACACCACAGCGTTTAAATCCCAGCACAAAAGCTGCGTGGCTGTTTGATAAACCTAACGTTACAGCAACCAGCATCAAGGGATTGGTGGGGATATAAGACAAAGAAACATTGTTATAAGCTACAGTTGCACTTGGTGCTCGTGTCCATGCATTGTCTTTTACTTGCACCCTGAATATGTTTCTTTTTGAAGGAGCTTGCACAAGGAGGAGAAAAGAAGAGCAGCGTGGGATTGCTAGGCCAAAGCAGAATCGGAGGTCTGAGGTGCAGGGGAGGGTGCAATTCAAAAAGCAGAGGTTGGGTCACCGCCTCAGGGAACAGGGATCACCAGTCACTGTCTTCTGTGCCTGACACTTTCTGTTCCCACAAAGCGTTCAAGATGAAATCCAGGTGCCTGCTCACAGGCCTCAGGCTGCCACGGTTGCTTCTCAGCTGCCTCTTCCCAAACCGACCGATGGGGCGGACACCACGGCCCACATACCAAAAAGGATCGATCTCAGGACCTGGAATTCAAAGCAGCCAGTGAAGCACCTAGCACTGTGCTCAAAGGCAGCACTTCCTGAACATCTTGAGAGTGTCGGGCGGCTCATTTGTAGCCCAGGAAAAAAAGAGAGGGGGAAAGGCTGCAGCCAGACACACAACTTTCTAGTTCCTTTGAGGGCCATCTGCCCTGTGTAGAGCCGAAAGGAAACGGGTTCAGATGCAAAATTAATTTTCATCCATCTGGGCTGCAACTTGCAATTCGAACATTAGCCAAAGTACCCATCAACTCAGGAGGGCACAGCGTGCTTTAAAACTGATCCGAACCTTGGAGGAGGTTACAGTGCAGCCTACGTCCAGAACGACCACAGTAGCTCCCTGTACTGCCACTTTTGATCTGTCCTCCCTTAGCTCAGGCCCCGAAGGTCCTACTGTCCAGCCTCCGTTTCTGCTCTATGCACCAGGTATGGCATCTCTACAGGCTAACAAACCCGCTGGGCTGCAGGGAGGGTTCCTACCTGAGGGGTAAACATAAAAAACTAACTCGTGTTCACTTAGGAAGTTGTTTTCATGGGTGACTTTTTTTTCTTTTAATGCACCTGAAGTACACTTACACTTGACTTATTTTTATAGTCTAGTTCTGGAGCAGGTGTGGAGAGGGGTATAGTTGTATTAAAAGACTAAGGTACAGCAACAGGGAAAATCTACAAAGTGCTGGAGATGATGCCACCCTGAGGAAATGCCAAATCATTCCAAAGCCGGATGAATGTCAGGAACAGGGACAAATTTCAATGTAAGTGCATTATATATCATGCAAGTCATACAGAAGTCTCAGGCAAAGGCAGCAGGATTTTCCCCTGTGCATTCTGATGCTTGAACAGAGAAAATAAAAAATCCACTTTGGCTGTCAATTTCTCTATAAATACATATTGTAAGTCTTTCCACACGGTATTTAACACCCCTCCTGCCCACCAAAAAACAAGTAATTTCATTTTTTTCACCTGGGTACCTAAAAACCCCACATCCCTAGTTCTCATTGAAAGGGGGAAGGTGTGCCACTGAGAGCCCACATGCTTTACTGCCCACACCCCCTTCTCTCCCACGCCACGTACAATTATTAGCCTTTGCTCCTTGGGGGAAAATGAGATTTCCTGATAAAGACTTTCTCAAGAATCTTTTGGCCTGTGTGTTAGCTTTTACTTGGGACATACGATATTGCCCCTCACCTGGCCAGCCTCAGTTCTTCACAGCGTGTCTGAATGGAGACACTTCAACCACTTGTATTTTGCCTTTCAGACAAGACGTGGTTCCAGGGAGAAATGAAGATACCCGTACAGCAAACTTAACTTTCTGGCCCTTGCTTTCTCATTACTCTATAGAAGTAGTTGTGAACTACCCTGGGTCTACAGAACACAGCTGAAAAATTTGATGCTTAAATATTCAACATATACCGCCTTACATTTTCTTTGTCAGTCTTTTGTACATCAGTGTCTCCTCTGGTATTTATCAAAAAATTACACTATCTCCCTTGGGTAGTTAAGGGCTGTGGGAAGGAGATCAAGCTTGGTACATGCTCTTACAGGTGTAAATGGAAGTACAGGTCCCCATACCCCCATTTTACCATAGAAACACCCACATAGATTTGCTGCTGAACTTTGCCTGACAGTCCAACCCTGATCCGTCAATGCACCAGAGGCCGTGGGGTCACCATATGGGAGTCCATCGCGTTACTTCAGGTGAGACTCATACTTACTTCTGTTGTCTATCTGATGTTTAAATGGCCTGCTCTGTCCTGAAGCAAAGCTGAGCGATACCAAGAGCACCAGCACATAGACGGTGACCAGCTTTAAGTGCTTGGGTGACCACTGGGCACGTGGTGTCCACGAGATCAGATGCCGCATGGTGGAGTGGTGGTGGGAAGGCTGTGAGAAGAAAAGTGAACATGGGGAACACATATGAGTTAAAGCTCTCAGGCTGAAGGAAGGCATCAACTGTAACAGCGTGCTCCTAGCCATCGGAGCCATTTCATGAGTAAGTTCTGTGAAACACTGACACTGGGAGTGTCCTGGGTATTTCTGTTTGAAGGCAAAGGCCATGCAGGGAGCCATCTACTGAGGCAAGTCTTGCAACTTGAGTGTTTTCTCACGAACAGGACACGCAAGTCCTGGCCCTGAGCTTGCCGCTGACTTTCTGTGTGGCCCTCTGTATGGCAAGGTCTGCCTATGTATGTGACAGCCTGGAGCCTCTGCCTACAGGAGCCCTGTTTGCTTAAGCATCACTTAGGGTAGCCATACAGCTGCAGAGCTGTAGGAAATCCTTTTGGCTACGCCTAAACAGAGGCTTCTCCCCGTGTAAGGGCGGGTTTGCTTTTTCCCCTGTTGCTGCCTAAGCACCATGCTTCAGTAGGGGCAGAGCAGGAAAGAAAATCTTCTGATGCAAGATGCTCCCAAGCATATGGCAGGGACAACACAACAAAAGCACGTGGAGGATCTGGTTTTGTCTTTCATTAAAATGCAAAGTCAAAAGCTCCTTAACCCTTAGCATTCAGTGAAGTTTGTTGTCGTGCCTTTTTTTCTTTTTTTCACACTGACAGTCACTTAGCAGAGAGCTTAGAGGAAAGTGATTTCAACAGAACTGTGAATTAACTTTTTCTAACTTGAATATCTCATAACAATCAGGACTAAATGATCTTAGCATGTAAAACCACATGGGATGAATTCTGCTTCCAGTTTCACCTGGTGTACATCTCTTGTTGCTCCATGTTTAGCAAAGCCTAAAGTTCAGTCAGACAAAAAGAAGATGTTTTGAGGAGTCTCTCCGGTGTGCTTACAGGGTTGCTGACAGGTTTTCCAGATTACTTGCTGTCTGGTTTTGTGTCTTTTGTTTTCTGGTAACTGAGTGACAGGAAGAGCTTGCCTTGAGATCGTTGTTGATGAAAGACAAAAGTGAAGGAAAAAGCTTTTAGCACGAGCTTTTTCCTAAGCAGTGCTGTGCCTCAGTCTCCGCCAGTTGGCCCTGTGCCCCCTATCAGCCATTCTGGCCACCTTCCAGAATGCCGTTCTTTATTGAACTTTTTGCTCTCAACCTGGCTAGGATTCCTGCGAAGCACATGGCTCCCACTGCTCCTCAGTAAGTAACATGCCACCCTAAATAATCAGGGGGCTCGGCACTTCCAAGCCTCCCTAATTTTTCCTCCTCCTAATTGTGCCACCCCTGTTGGTACGGGGAGAAACTGAGGCACGGATAATGCCACAAACTTGACCCAGCATGATGCTGAGCATTTCTAACTCCAGGATAGCACAAAATCCTGGTTACCCACTCACAGTCCTTTCATGAGTAATGGGGCTGGGAGGTGGTCTGTGATCTCCTCAGGTCCAGACCTGCCTTAGCTCACAGCCCTGCAGCTTTCCTCCAAAGAGAAAAAAAAATCAAAAAAACAAGACCTCATGCAATCAGGCTGTATGTGCCCTCCATTTCCAACCATTAAATGATCACCAAAAATTTTAAAACCTTATTAGTTTCAACAAAACTTGATGCAATTAAAAGTTTCAGGAGCAATTTTTCTCCTGGAGCTCAGCAAGAAGTCAGCACCACTGCCAACTTGGTCAACTTGCCACTTCTGCTTGGTCCCTAAGCAGAAAAGAACCTTTAAATTTTGGCTGAGTGACATCTGTGACAGTGGTCTGGCAATTTCCATCGACATGACAGAAGAAAGTTACAGCATGTTAAAGCCACTACTAAAGTTAGGGTGAAGCAGTGGGATCCCAGCTCGCTGCACGTCTGCCTCACACAAGCAGTGGGAGACCAGCCTGGCTCTGCCTCCAGGCACCCAGGGGCTCTCAGCACGCCAAACTCGGCTGCAGTTCCATCAGGTCTAAACCTATCCTCAATGTCCCCAGAAGACAAGGTGCTATTAACTCTTTAAACCCTAAAATAGCATCTTACTCTAGGTTGGCGGCTGTGTACATCCCCTCCAACGCAAACACGAATAGCTTTCATGTTTGAAAGCAGCACTGGAAATCCCCGCAAGAGATCAAACCCCGGGTGAATCCAGGCCTGGGACCATGGCTCATTTCAGGGCTGAGCAGCACGAAAGGTGCACTGCTGTGCTGCAGGCTCCGGCGTGTGCTCTCCCTAGGGGGGCACAGCACTGCCCACCGGTACAGCCATGTCGCCTCAGCACAGTCTCCTTCACTGCAAAACTGGAGAAAAGTTACTGAGCACAGAGCACAGCCATGTAGATTAATGTAGAAAAGCTAAAGCCCAACAAGAAAAAAGGAAATCCAGCAAGAAAGAGCCAGGACAAGCGCTGAAGTAGCTAGAGGGAGGCACTCACCTGTTTGCACCAAAGCTGCTTGTCAGGTAGCCGCTGCTCCAAGCAGAAACAGGGCAGCTTCTGGGGGCTTGTGCCTTTTATACCGGAGGGAAGTGGGCTTGAAGTGGGAGGGGGAGTCAAGAGGTGGGCCAGGAGGACGTCAGCACTACTAGTGAGCAAAATTTAAATTTACAAAGGGAGGGGAAGAGAACTGTGGCTCTATTAGAAAGCCATTGATCAGGGCAGTGAGCAGAAGCTGAGGGCAGCGCCAGGGGACACCAGCCCCCCTGGCCCACCAGGAGCAAAGCAGAGGGGAGGGGGCCACTGCCACATCCCTGTGGATGGGGGGACACAGGCAAACCAGAGCAGCACCAGCTGCCACGCTGTCCACACAGGAGAGCCCGGCTCTCTGTACTGCCTGGCTGAGATGCTCTGCCTGAAGCACGTGTCTGCGGGCGAAAAACACTCATGGCTGGGGATGAGGTGTGGGGAGAAAGAGGAGATGGACAGTGGGAAGCTCTCAGGGTCAGCAAGCTGGAGCTGCCAGGACAGGTGCCCCTTCCCAGCCCTTCCTCCTTTTGCTGTTGTCCCTCCGCTGCTTTCTGCTTGGGATTGAACCTGACTGCAGCTCTCATCCCATCAAGCCCCTAACCCACAGCTGGGGTCAACTCACCCACGCCTAAGTTTTAGGCCGTACTGCAACACAGCACCCAAGTAGCTAATGAAATGGGTTGCGATTCAGTGCTTAAGCAGGTGCTTACCGGTTTTGTGGCAGACAAATTTCATCTGCGTGAGGCTAACATCTTGAGCAACATGGTACTTCTACAATAGGCGTCTCTTCTGTGCGGCTATTTTTAACACTGTCTCTTGACTAACATGTCATCACGGTCTTGCTGTTACAGATCTCGCTGCTTTAACAGCTGAGCCCGTGCTCACCGCGAAGGTTTGTAGAGGAGCACCAGCTGAACTGGCAGGTGTTTCACTCCTTCGGCACCATCCTGCGGAGAGGCTGAGATGTGAAGCGTTACGGAGCTGCCCGGGGACCGCAGGCTCTCTTGCAGAGATCTTTGCAGACACTGGGTTGTGCTCCACTCCTGGTAAGACTGACTACCTGAAGAAACAATTTTTAAAGCTGTGCTTAGAAGAGGGGGCTCTGAGGCATGACCCAGTCCATAAGCTGACCCTGGACCAGAAAATGCTGCAATCCCATTAGGATGAGGTGGAAGTCCAAGAGCAAATCTGTTGTGTAGTTTTTCTACAAAGGTGCTTCCAGCTGGGAAAACCTCAAAGTACAAATGACACTGTTTCACTGCAGCCACCTCCCAAAAGAAAGGAGACTTTTTTTCTCCTAGGGGCAATTTGTGGGGTACTTGTACAAGGAAGCATGATTGAAATTTTGCCTGGCCGTGCTCTTACTTATCCAGGCATCAAGTAGATGACTCCAGCACCACCACTGTGGGGGTATGGTCACTAGCTGTGGGGTTTAAAATAAATTTCACATTTGCATGTAGTAGTTTGTTCTATGGGCATGTGTATGAACACAAACAGTAAAGAAGCCTGAGAAATACTCTTCCATTCTCCAATTTCCACCTAGTAACAGCTAAAGGAAGTGTCTTCCTCATACAAGTTTTCAAGAGTTTACTCAGACTACTCAGGATTACAATAGCAAAATATGAAGAGCACTTCAAGCTCATGATAGCACAAAAGGTCTCTTAACAGCTAAATCAATCGATAATGTATATACATGCTTTCTTCATCAACGTCCTTTTAGCATGTTCCCTTTGAACCTTGCAAATGCTGCCTACCTAAAAATCAATCTGCATCCAAGAACCAGGCAGTGGCTGTGCTTCCGCTGTCATAATTTTGTGTGCATGCATGAAGAGGGTATCTTCATAATAAGTAAAACCCTTCATGACTTTGCATTGTAAAGCTTTTCCCTTACAGCTCTTCACGTTGATTTGGACCAGAAAATGTGGGTATCCTTTCTTGATCTCTAGTGGGCAATCGCTGGAGAGAGGGCTTTTTCTCTCCAGGATATGTAGGATCCTGTCTTGTTTTGCTGTTTTTCTAAGTGATCCTGTCATCTTAAAATTGAAGTAAAAGCCATTTTCATCCCATTTACTCTTTCTAGCCTTGCTGGCACTGCAATGTCAGCCTTTCAATAGCACAGTTCAGTTTCACTGATTGACACCTTCGTGGAAGTTACCATATAAAATAAAACAGTACCGTACAATGTCTTCATGTTAATAGGGTTTGCTTATTGGTAAATGCTGCCTGCAAAATAATATGCCATACAAAGAAAAATCACTATTAGGAGAGCCAGCATTTGAAATACCCTAATATGATCAGCTGCCTTTGTTGTGGCCCGAGGTCCATCTACTGCAGTATTTTGGTTTTGACGGTGGCCAGCAGAGAACATCTGGGAAGACTCTAAAAACAGGGCAGCATATTTTGACATTCCCCACCAGACTATTCTCCCAGACCCTTGAGACATGAGGTCCAGAGGCTTCCCAAGCCAAATGTGTCTTTGTGGTAGGTAGCCCTTTTAATGGACTACTTTTCTTTCACAGTTGTTTCTTGAACCCATGCGAATTCTCAGCA